ACTATCAACCCACCAGCCATCCATCCAACCAAAAACTGAACCGTGAGTCAAAAGGAATGTGCAGGGGGGGTGGAGATTTAATTTGACATGGCAACAGCTCAGGATTGACTGCCAGATGGTTTGTTAATGGCAATTAAACTGTTGACGACCACTCAATTAAGTTCAGTTGGACTAGTGGAACCATGGCGAATTTTTTGGAGATTACCACAGGAAAAGAATAGCTGGGCATGTTAATCTTAACATCGCCGAGTGTGAGATAAAGGGCACATATCAGTTATGGTTGTCTCGGTCTGCGATGGCCTCCAGCACCAGTGCGCTGGATTGTGGAGGCCATGCTCTCCTCGACAGGCTGCCGGTGGACACGAGAGGGGGTGGACAGCTTGGTGGCCGGGGACGGGTCGACACCTTGAAGCACCTTTGTGGCTCGATTCTCGTCTAGGGTTCGCTCGTTTCTCTTGGGGTCCTCTGCCAGCATAATGGCTATAAGACTGGAGGGAGTCACACAGGGGATCAAGGGTTATGGAGGAAACTACAGAAATGGTCAGGTACTCCTATCTGTGTTTAAGATACACATATTCACAATGTTCCCTTAGTATTTGGTGTGTGTGTGTGTACGTGCGTACCTTGCGTGTGTTTTGGAATTCAGTTTAATTTCTCTCTCAATCTTTTCAGGGCTCTGGAGTCGAATCAGTACAACCACATCACAGCTACATACTTCCTGCTGGCTGAGAGGATGCTGAGGGAGAGGCAAGAGAAGGAGCAGCACAGCCAGACACGATCGCCCAGCCCCAGCAAGGCCCAGTTCAGGTACACGCACACACACGCACACACGAACACACATACACATTTCTTGAGATCGACAGTGTGCTGCCTCTGCAGTGCTGCATACTGTCAGTTTCCAGAAGACAAGTTTGACAGCAGATAGACAGACTGAGCCTTTTTTCAGCAAAGGATGAAGGACAGACTGAGAATAGAAGAGAGGGAGCAGAGCAGCAACATTATCAGGGATTTACCACCAAAAATATCTTGAAACAAAACAGAAAACAGCTTACATTTTCCTTACTGAAAAAGTGAAACTCAAGAATATTCGTAAAACACATGAACTTGCTCTTGGAATCACAGGTCTTTTTACAAAGACGAAAAAAGAATAAGAATAAGATTTTGAGTACATTTCCAAATAAATGTTTATATTGAATGAAAGCATTCTGATCCTTATATCGTTTAGCATTAGCAGCTAGATATCTGGCTGGTGTTTAGCCCCTATTCATAGAGACTAAGTGGCTGCAGGCTAAAGGCTAACCAGATAGCTAAGGAACAAATGCTGACATATAAAACATACAGAAAATATAATCATGGGATATTAAGTATTTGCTCTGCAACACATAACATGCTACATGCTACATGCTATACACCAAGCAAAACTGCACTTCTGAAATTAGCCAAGCAGTCGTTATCATGTTGACTATCCCAACTGGTTATGTGTGTTTTAATTTATTGTAAGTTCCAGCTTTTACACGACTGATGCAGATACTTTTTTCCATCTTCAGCATGAATTTGATTTGAATGACAGGAATAAATATGTGACCATTTATCTGAAGTAGCTTGTAATAACAGATGGATCTTAAATTAAACTATTCAAACAGAATTAAATATGAATAGTGTCTTCATTTAACATTCTTGTTCAAATGTAGCCAGTCAGTAATGTCAGTTAAAGGAAGGGAAATAAACTATTATAAACTATTCTTTCAGAGACTTAGATATAAAGAGTGATACCACTCTCGCATCTGTCCGGTAAATGTTAAGCTACAGCCAGCAGCCGGTTAGCTTAGCTTAGCATAAATACTCTGTTATTTCTAATTCTGTTCAACCCACTAAACCCTGTGTTTTGTGTTTGTTTAACCCTACACAGGCAATCCTGGCCCACCAGAGTGGATGTTCACCAGGATGTCAGTGACGGGTTGGGGGGTCCGGGTATCTCGCACCCCGGGGGGCCACAGTCCCCTGCCCGCAGTGCCGAGAGCCTCCACAAAGGCCCAAGGCCCAAAACAGCTCTGCTGGACCTCAGTCAGCGGCAGGAGAACCACACCCCAGCATCCAGCCAGCAGCAGGCTGCACGACAGAACCTGGAGAGGGGGCTCAGGCCTCTGGGAAAACCACACTCCAACCCCCTCAGGCTGGGCTCTCTGGCCTCAGTGGGCCCTTGCAAACCTCGTAGTCCAAGTCTTTTCAGCGTGGAGGAGGATGAAGAAGAAGAGGGGGAGGAAGGCAAAGGTTTATCCCCTTCTGCACTGCCTGCTCAGGTGGTGCTTCGTTGTAAAACCTCCTCCTCATCATCCATGTCTTCTGGTAATCGGCTGACATCCCGTATGAGTGCTCCAGTTCTTAACCAGATCCATGAAGAGGATAAAGAGGATGAGGAAGAGGAGGAGAGGAGGGAGCTGCATGGACTCGGCCCGCCCAAACCTAGCCTCAGCCTAAATCTGAACTCTAGAATACCATCCCCGTCAACGCTCATGTCGTCGCCTAAAACTGTTGATGTAATAGCACCGGTTGCCGCTTTCACTCCCAGCTCAGAGACGAGTGACGAGGACACAGAAAGTCACCATAAACCCGATCCAGCGACTGTAGATGGACAAGGGGACGAGAGAGAAGGGAGAAAAGAGGGTAGAGAGAAAAGGGGGTCAGGGCAGGGCAGTCCCTCCCACTGTGCCAGTCCTGGATCAGGTTCAGGCCAGGGCAAGGGCACAGCCAAAGCTGCCAGCGGCCTGGTGGAAAGCCTAAAGCTGATGAGCCTGTGCCTGAGCTCCCAGTTCCACAACCTGACAGGGGGAGGAGGGGGAGGCGGTGGCGGCAGCGGCGCCGTTGTTGGGGCAGACACCCAGGACCGTCCCATGTGGAGGATGTGCATGGGCGGCTCCACCGGCAGCCTGGACAAGGTCTCGCTCCTGGGTGGCCCTTCACCCAGGGGGAACCTGCACCACAACCAGCCCCCGCTGGGAGACGCGCTGGCAGACCCGTTGCTGGAGGGCTCCTGCACGGGCACGCTGAGGCTGGGAGAGCTGGACCTGGCCAGGGAGAACCACAGGAACATGAAGAACCGCGTCCTGCAGATGCCTCTAAGTGACAAAACTCTGTCCGTCAACATCCACAGGAGTCCCAAGGAGGGTCTGCTCTGCACCCCCACCCCACACAGCTGCTGCCAGGTCATCTAGAGCCCTACAGACAGCCGCTCCATCAGCTGCTCCACACTCCTCCACTCTCATCCATTCATCCCTTATCATCTTGCTTTTGTTACAGTCGTGTCACCACTGGCTCATGAGTTCACGTTATTTTAGCATTTTATGCCGTTTCCTATTATTTAACACTTAACGGTGGATAACTGGGAGAAAGTCCAAATGCCAACCTTGCACATTTAGAGACAAAAAGTCTCCGTGGAGGAGACTGGGTGCCATGCCAAGTATGTGAAGCACTTTCAGCAGATTAAACAGAACACTAAAGGGACATTTTAACCCGCCGGTGTGTTTTAAATAAAAATGGAAATGAATACAGGAGGTGCTCACATCCCTACTCTTGCACACTTGTATATACTGTATGTACACATTTTGTGCACACCCACACACACGAACCTGTATCACTCTCTGGTAAGCTGACAAGGGAAAGCTGATGAGTTTTAGTATCATGTTACATGTCGTCTTTTGTTGTACTTGATGCTGGTTTCTTTTTAAATATTATTTTTTAAATTATTTTTTAAGACAATCATTTTATCAGTTTTTTTATTCTGACTGAAAGAGTGAAGCTATGACTATGTTTTCATTCAAATGAGGACAAATAACAGGGTGAAAATGGACAGCAGCACTTGCGTATGACGGTGGAACAGTATTTTTTGTAGTCTATCACTGTTTTATTTTTCTATCTCGAATGTGCTCTGCAGACTCAGAAAGAAAGCGCACACTCACTGCGCAGTTACATGGCAGTTTGTACATATGTGAATAACCTCCTAGCAGTACTCTGTACCTGTAGTATTGACGGTGAAGTTGTATTGCAGTAGAAACCTGAATACTAGATCCTTGTACACCATTATTCTTCACTCCTACTGGATATTCAAGGTTTTGGTTGAACCCAGAGCTAGAAATGTGTTAGATGGCTGAAAAGGAACATTGAAATATATTTAAAATCTCCCCTGAAACCAAACAATAAATGATTATACACGTAATGGCAGCTCTTTAAATTCGACGACTGCTGGGTGGAACCTAAACCATGTACATCCCGTAGCTTTCCAGGATCACGGTAGCCACTGTTGTAGCGTATTCCAAGACAAAACAACAAAGGGGTTTCAATAGAACAGAACAACACTGCCCCTTCAAGTATCGGTCTCTGTAACTGGATGTGTGACCCACCCCTAGTGGAATATATAACTTGACAGTGCATGTGTTTTGCTGTAGCAACCTTATTCTTACCCACTGAGGTCAATCCACCTGATGTATCTACCTAAGTAACAGATTCAAACGGTCACTTTACTGTAGCCTCACAGCAATACCAGCGACTGCAAAATGTACAACAAAAATGGATGTGCCATAAAATTTGTCTTGAGCATATTGTACTGTATGTATATGATAGAGATATATTAAAATAAAATGATGTGGATGATGTCTGTTTCTTCACTTCAATTCATTATTTTAACTAAAAAAATAGTTGAAACCTATTACATCAAACATTTTAAGTAAATTAACTCAGTTTTGTAACTTAAAAAAACATTCTTGATCAAGTAGTTTTAGTCATTTTAGGTGACACTGACTTCATTTTGTAATTTTTATTTGTACTGTGAAAACAAATTCATAGTAAAAAGTACTTAATCAGCAATATTAAATGTTGAGTTGTTGATGTTTGTGTGTGATTCTGTAGACAGAAAAAAAAGGGATTATCTCTATGGAGGGGACTGGATAGAGCGGAGGCCTGTGTGCACTACAAATTCTCCCATTGTGTTTATTTTCCTGAATGGTCTCGAAGCTTCCCCCCCAAACACTGCAGGGAGTTGTAATCTCTGCAACATCTGGGCTACTGTTCCACATCAGCCAGCTGGGAGGAAATCAGATCAGACCAGATGAGCTTGAGGGTCAACGCATAAACCTGTGTGACCCACAGGCTTACACACACACACACACAGAGTCAAATGATTTAATACACACAAACAAGCTGGGGTACATAAACCATGTAGGATAACGCACACACACAAATGAGCAGGTGTCGAGGTTGTCATGTGGGTTTCAAAAAGTTAATGGACCACTGAGAATAGTGTGTCAGAGAGAGGATGTCATGTGTGCACCGAGGCACGTGCTGGAATCAGATCCAATATCTACCCACAATCCTCTCACTGCAGCAAGAGACACATCACTGCCACCTGATCTCTCTTTCTCCCTCTCTCTCTGCACATCATTATTAGTTTAATAGTTTAATTAGTTTCACAACATATGCAAAATACCAAATGTGGAGAACATGTTGGATATGACATGGTGTAGGCAAACATGTGAGACCAAATTAGTTTCTGTTGTTTTTACAGTCGACGCTGTGTGGTACGTAGCGGATCAATCTGGCTGACTGGCAGGGAAACACCATCCACAGACACTACGCTCACAGCAGCCAGCAGATTATCTGCTCCTGGCAGGTCAGTGTGCATTAACAGTAGCAGCCTGTTAAAGTTAACCCTTTACAAACATTTGTACTGATGAAAAAC